CCACACACACACGTGCACACACACACGTGCACACACACACACAATTCTGTTGACTGACAAAGCCTCAGATCCCGGTAATACCCTGGGTCCCTAAAGCAGTCACGACCTCCCACTAGGAAGGCTCCTCCCCTCCACCAGGTGGTCCCCTTCCCCCATTACTTTGACTTCATTCTTGTCTGTGGCCTTGTCTTTGTGGACTTTTCCCTCCATGTCCACCAGTGTCCCTGCCACCTGCGGCACTGTCACCTCTGCCTCACAGCCCCTCGAGGTTCTTTTCACCTTGGCAACTTTGGGGGGGGGTCTCTGTATCTCTCTTCCTGTGAGCAGAACTATCCTGAAGAAAGGAAGGGCCATGTCTTGTCCCTAATGCCTATGGGCCCTGCACAGAGCTGCTCAGCAGGCTCCAGACGTGCCTCCTTGAACACATGGGTCGTGTGGGTTCTAAGACGCCTGCACTAACACTGTGATGTCCTCGTCGTGTTCTAGAGGGTGTTTAGGCGGGGGTTGGGACATATGACCCTCAGACCGGGTACAGAACAGAAATAACTGAATGTCATCCTGAGGGATGGCAGGTCCATAGGCTCGGGGAACCAGGAGTCCAGTTTTTACTGGGTGGGTGTTGGTCAAAAAAGCACTTTTAAAGATAATTGTTTATAAAGATAAAATTGTTTGCCCAGTGGATAGCGGACTAGGCATGTGAACTGAGACTTGGCCTGAGCGGTGTTTGGCCTCTGTCCTCACGGTTAGGTTGCAACAGCGCGCGAGAGGAAACTGAAGGCAGATGTGGATCTGAGGGAGGAGATCACAGTACCACATGTGTCTGGTAAGAGAGAGAAAGGGATTGTAGGTTTCCTCCCCTGAGAGCCGGCAGAGGTCATTAACAAAATCAGAGAGTAAATGGAAAGAAAAGGGTTTAAGAATTAGGAACAGGAGTGTGGTTTCGGCAGCAGTGTTAATACTTTGTCGGCAGACCTGCACCACACAACAAGCTCGATGAAGATTTCAGGATGAATACGAGTGTAATCATGTGGAAACATGGATCTTAAGGAAGAAGAAAGATCATCAGAAACATTTTTTTTAATTGGCCAAATGTAAAGGATTATTTCCCCTTAATTTCCTGAAGCTATACCCTTAAAAATTACAGCACTGTGGGCTTTTTATAAAGTACACTCATCTAATGCCTAGGACAACTATAGCAATAAGAATGGCAGGGCGGTGATGAATGGATTTATACTATCGCATGTCTTTAGCATTTTCTGTTAAAGTACACTCTTAATTCAGCAGCACAACTCAGAAATGAAAAAGAACAAAGTATGAGGCACATGATAATATGGGTGCATTTCCAAATAATTATCCTCTGTGAAAGAAGACAGAAGAGTACATGGTATCTGTTCTATTTATATGAAATTCTAGAAAATGCAAACTAACCTCTAGGGCAGAAAGCAGATCAGTAGTTGGCTGGGGCCAGAACGGTCATGGCAGGTGGAGAGGCGAGCTCAGGGGCAAAAGGAAACCATTCAATGATGTGGTCATTATCTTGATTGTGGTGAAATTTCCACAGGTGAACACATATGGCAGATGTTACAAAATTTTACTCCTCAAGCATGTGTAGTTTATTGTAAGCCAATTATACCTTCATAAATCAATTTTTAAAAACTTCAAATAGACTGTAAACAGTTAAAAGTATATAATGTACTCCCCATAGGAACTGCTAAAGAAATAATGCAAACATGTATACACAACATGCCAACACATAATTCAAATGGAATTCTAAAAAATATACAGTGAATATTAAATTCTGCAGGGAGGAGCAATAGGAAAAAAAGGAGACTGGACAAACAGAAAATAAACAGTAAAACTGTAGATCTACTCCAACCTTATCAGTGGTTACATTTACTCCAAATCAGTATAATTCAAAAGTAGAAATGGTCAGAATGAATTTAAAGGAGACACATATTACTGAAAATTAGGATGGATAAAAGATATAACATTTAAATAGTAAGCCTATAAAAAACTTCTGCAACTATCTTAATATCAGCTGGAAGTTGACTTAGGATAGAAGAATATTGGAGAGATAAACAGAGACATTTTGTGTGTTAAAGGATTAATTCATCAGGAAGCCATAATAATCATCAACGTATATATGTCAAATAATAGAATTTCATAATACAAGAAGCAAACATTTACAGGATTAAATGGAGATGATAGCACATCTGTCTTAGCAACTGCTAAAATGGTTAGATGAACACAACTCAGTAAAATCATAAGACATCTGAACACAGTCCATCACCTTAACTTAATTGACATTCATAGAGTAGACGTGCAGCATCTGTTGAAAACATTCCATTTTGGAAAAAATAATCACCTCTTGAGATGGTGCTGCAGATTAGGATTACCTAGAAAGGGCAGGAGGGAATGTTCTGTGGTAATCCTGTGTTCTATGAATTCGATAGAGGATTTGGAATATGCACAAATATGAATTGATAAACTCATCACTGGCACACTTAAGAAATATGCGTTTCACTGTTTGTGGGTGTTCAGTGTACAAGTCTGTAAATTTTCCTGAGTGTGTAAAGTTTTTTGGAATCAAATATTGAGGAAAAGATTCCACGAGAGGAAAACCAAGGAAGACAGGAGGTAAGAGCATAGTGAGAGCAGGCAAAGGAGACTCAGAGACCACCTAGCCTGGAAAACGCATGACTTGGGGGACACACATGAGTTTCGTGGTTCCCAAATACTTGACAGACTTTCATGTGGAAGAGGGTTGCATTTTATCTTGTTTAGATACAGATGGATGAACTGAGGTCAGGAAAGTATTTTTATTCTCATTTTCTTAATTTAACTTTTTATTTTTAAACACTCCCATAATTACAGAAAAGTCGCATATATTATACAAAACCCTTTTTTCCTGACCAACTGAAAACTCAATGCTAACATGATGAACATCATTCCTGAACACTTCGGTGTGTACTCCCTAGAAACAAGAACATTCTCCCCGATACCCACAATACAACCTTCAAAGCAGAACATTAACATGGACACATTACTAGTATCTAGTTCTCAGACCCCATTCAAATTTCTCCAGTTGCTCTTATGTCATTTATAGCTGAGAGACTGTGACACAAACTGTCACTTTTCTGAACCTCTTTGGTATTTAGTAGAACACTGACATGTTCCACTAGGGACACCTTGTCAGGCACCTTATAATTTTTTTTTAATGGTGGTAAAATATACATCGCATAAAATTCTCCATCTTAACCATTTTGCAGCGTACGGTTCGGTAGCATTAACTACATTCTCATTGTTGTGCAACCAATCTCTAGAACTATTTTCGTTTGGCAAAACTGAAACCGTCTATCCGTTAAACAGTAACCTCCAAATTTCCCCCTCTCCCCAGCCCCTGGCAATGCCCATTCTACTTTCTCTATGAATTTGACTACCCTGGGGACCCCACATAAGTGGAATCATACAGTATTTTTGTGACTGGCTTATTTCGCTTAGCATAATGTCTTCAAGATTCATCCATTGTTGTAGCATGTGCCCGAATTTCCTTCTTTTTTAAAGTGACTAATATTCCATCTTACATACACACCACATTTTGTTTATCAGTTAATCCAGTGTTAGACATTTGGGTTACTTCCACCTTTTGGCTATTGTGAATAATGTTGCTATTAACATAGGTGTACAAATATGCCTTCATGACCCTGCTTTCAATTATTACGGATACATGCCCAGAAATGAAATTGCTAAATCATACACTAACTCTATTTTAATTTTTTGAGAAACCTCCAAATTTTATGGAAATTGTTTCCCATAGGGGCTGCATCATAACACATTGCCACCAACAGTGCACAAGGCTTCCAATTTCTCCACATCTTTGCCAACATTTGCTCATATATAATATCTTTTCATATATATTCTAGTATCTTCTTCAGAAAAACACCTATTCAAATCTTTTGCTCATTATTGAAACTGGGTTATTGTTGTTGTTTCTATGTTATAGGAGTTCTTTATATATTTTGGATATTAACCTCTTATCAGATATATGATTTGCAAATAGTTCTCCCATTATATGGGTTGTACTTTCACTATGTTGTGTTTCTTTGATATACAAAAGTTTTAAATTTCCATATTAGCACAATTTATTTTTTCTTTATGTTGCCTGTGGTTTTTGTGTCATGTTCAAGAAGTTATTGCCAAATCCAGGTCATGAAGAACTGCCTCATGTTTTTTCCTAAATGTTTTGTAGTTTACATTCTTCTGTTTAGACCTGTGATAAATTTTGAGTTAATTTTTGTATATGATGTAAAGTAGGGGTCCCGTTCATATTTTTACATATGGACATCCAGTTTTCATAAGATCATTCATTGAAAAGACTGTCCTTGCTTATTACATGCTTTTGGCACCCCTTGCCAAAAGTCATTTGACCATATATGGAACAGTTTATTTCTGGGCTATCTGTCTTATTCCATTGGTTTAGATGTCTGAGGCATCTTAAATCAGTAATTCATTATTTAATCAACATTTGCACAAACAATTATTTAATGTTTGATTCTATATCATCATTTTTTAAAGTTTGTATACTATATAATCCTCATTACCATGTGTGTCTGTGTAAGAGAAAGAGAATATTGACACACATGGTGAAACAGTGGAACTAAATGACACAAAATATTAATGGATGCTATTTCTAAGATGAAGGGATCACATTTTTTTTTGTATTCTTATAAAAACTCTACCTGTTGATATTTTCTAGAATAAACATGTTTTATAATAAGAGAAAAGGATAAAGAAGAGTTTTTCAAGTATACATTACTTAGCTAGCTCCAAATCATGAAGGTACAACCATAAATACAAAAGAATATATAAGCGTTTGGATCTGGGAGCAAGGTGGAAGTTCGGCTTAGTTTTGGAGGTGAGGTGAAATGAATGTGTGATGGATTCTGAGTGGGGTGAGAGTCTGGAAGCCACTCATACCTATCCCTGCTTTGTCCCCATAGGCTGCAGCTGCCTCAGCCACGCGCACAGGGCAGGACAGAGTTCACCAACAATTAGCTGCCCCACAGGGATGGAGGCGCAGCTTCTGGGAGTTGTGTCCACCAGGTAAATTCTAAGACTGATCTCCAACCCTTATTCTACCTTTGTCTCCCCATTTTTCTGGCCTTCTGATTCCTGCAGTTCTTGGTTTTTATTTCACTGGTATTTACTGGAAGCCTTCTGTGTGCCAGGCACTGTGCTAGTGGTGGGCATGAGGCCCATGCCCTCCTGGAGCTCTCCTCCTGGGATGGTACCCAGACAGATGGACAAACGTGACAGAGAGATGAGATAGGAAGCATGAGGACAAGTGAGTGATGGGTGGGACAGAGATGAGGTTGACAAGGCCTCTTGGGGATGGTGCAGAGAGCCAGGGATAGTGCTTCTGAGAGGACACCCAGGAACTACTGACCCAGGGGGCAGGGCTGGGCTTGTTTGAGCAAAGCCAGGGGCAGCAGGAGTGAATGGAGGCTGAGGAGGTCACAGGGACAGCTGGGAGCAGACCATACATAGCGCTAAACACCATGGAGTGGGCATGGGTTTTATTTGGTGAGTGAGAGACATCTCTGAAAAATTTTAGGCAGAGGACTGAAGGGACTAGGCTTGTTTCAGACAGAGGACAAATGGGATAAGTGCATACTCTTGGGTTGAAAGGAGGCAAGAGTAGAAGCAGGTGGAGAGCCTTCCAGGGCATGTCTCTGAAGTGAACCCCTGTTTGTCCTACCTGGTGTCATGTCTGTGTTCCATAGGGTTCTGCAAGTCCTGAGTCCTGGGGAAGGCAGCTAATGCTTGGCAGGGTGGTTGACTGGGGTTTTTGCTTTGCACAACGTGTTTCTTTCTCCCCAACTTGGGTGAATTAGGAATTGCTCTTCTGCAAAGGATTCCACAGCTAGCAAGAGTAGCACCCTGGGGTGCTTAAACTCCTTTGAAGAATTTGCATTTCCATCCACATCACAGGAAGGGCCCCAGTGCCTTTCCAATCTATGTTAATGTGGGCTTTTCAAAGTTTCAGGATGGGGAGAGGGAAGAGCTTAGCCCCAAACAAACACATAATCAAAACTGTAAAAGCCAAGGGCTTCAGGCACCTGTTGCTGTAGGGACAAGATGGGTGGGCCTGAATAGTGCTGTGAGCAGAGCCATAGGCAGATTGGGAAGGCCAAGGGAGATACTCACATAATCTTTTCTCTTTATAAACTTGTGTGAAAATTTTCTCATATATATTTGCAGTAGATTTGTGGTTAATTAATTTTATAATTAAGTCATTGATTCACCCAGATTTTATTTTCTTATAAGAGAATAAGGAAGGCATTTCATTGTTTCTGAGCAGCTTCTTAGTTGCCCCAGTACCATTATTAAATAACCACATTTTTATCATTGATATAAATTGTTATGATACCATGTTATTAGTAAGGTTTCCACAAGATAGAGCTTTTAGAGTATATTTCAGTATTGATGAAAAAAATCAGGAGACACATGGAGAGTGTGTAGAAGGATTATGGTTTTGTTTTTGTTTTTCTCCATCCTGACCATCTCTGCCTTTTAATCGGAGAGTTTAAGTTATTTAAATTTAACACTATTACTGATAAGGTACATTTAACACTATCATGATAAGGAACTCCCCACGATGCCATAGGTACAGGCTGCAAGAGACAAGGTGGCGAAGCAGGAGTGAGGGCCATGGGAATTTGGGAGCATTCAGGCACTTCTTCATGTAACTCACCTGAAGGCCTGCTTGAGCCCACTCTCATACATGGCACTTCCATTTAATAATGGGGTGCTACTTTGCGTGCCCAACTTTATGGCTTTGTGGGTCAGATAACACTTAGTGCATGACGGGCAGCTCAGACCACGTGGTAACTTGGTGGCTTATGGTTAACCACTCATTATCTACTCATTCCCAGTAGCTAGCCAAAATCTGTTTCTCAAAATGAGAGTAGTTTGTTATCGACAGAGAATGGCAGGGTCTTGCTCCAAAATTCTAACAACCTGCACTGAGCTGTAGGGACCTGTCAAAAGCTCCAAACAGCATCCCTATCTGTGCTGAGACGTCAGTCTCCCCTGGGTCTGCTGGACCAGATGAGCCAAACGGCAGAGTAGCTTGTACAGCAGCCTGGACCTGTTGCACAGCCTTCTGTTCTTCTGGGCACCACTCACAATTAGCAGCTTTTTGGGTCATTCAGTAATGGGCCGGAATAACACATCAAAACAAGGAATATGTTGCCTCTAAAACTGAAACAGGCTGGCTTAGGCCCTGTACCGTTTTCTCGGTTGTAGGGGGAGCCAGATGCAACATCTTATCCTTTGCCTTAGAAAGGATATCTCGACATGCCATTGGGCCCCTAGACATTTCAGTGATGTAGAAAGCCTCTGAATTTTTGTTGGATTTTTTTCCTATTCTCTGACATGCAAATGTCTTACCAGGAAATCTCAAGTACTTACTACTCCTTGCTCACTAGGTCCAATCAGCATGAAGTCATCAAAGTAATGAACCAGTGTGATACCTTGTAGAAGGGAAAGGCCATCAAGATCTTGTCAACTATATTATGACATAGGACTGGATAGTTGACGTACCTCAGAGGTAGGACAGTGAAGGTATATTGCTGGACTTGCTGGCTGGTGGTCTCTACTCACAGATACGGGGGAAAAAGCCTTAGGCACATCACCAGCTGCCTATCACGTAACAGAGGATGTGCAAATTTGCTTAAGTAATGAAACTACGTTTGTGCTGCAGCTGTAATGGTTAAGCTTACAACTATCCACGGTCATTCCATACCTTCCTAACACCTTGTTGTTGGACTTCCCAGCCTCTCAAACTGTTCATTAAAGTCTGTTGTTAAGTCACCCAGTCTATCATATTTTGTGAGAGCAGCTGAAATAGACAAAGATATACTGGTATCTATGTAGTTACCATTTCCAATATTTTATTTCTGTATGCAATATGTTTGTTTTGGTTTCCAGAATCTTTATTTCTTCATATGGCTTTGAACTACTGCCTAATGTCATTTCATTTCAACCTGAAGGATTCCCTTTAGTATTTCTCATAGGGCAGGTCTACTAGTAATGTACTCTATAAGCTTTGTTTATCTGGGAATATCTTAATTTCTTCTTCATTCTTAAAAATTGCGTCCCTCCACAGCCTTCTGGTGTCTACGATTTCTAACGAGAAAGCAGTTAATAACGTTATTGAGACCCCTTGCGTCTGTTGAATCATGGCTTACGTGCGGTATTTTTTTTCTTTTCTTTTAACGTTTTCTTGTAACTACCTCGTAAGTCAGAAGTGGGTAATGTGCTGCCTTCCTTAGACGTGGTAGCCTTTTCTTAGACTCTCTCTCTGAAATAAAACCCTTATTCCCCATCACCCGTGCTCACCATGGTAGGCCATTCATTATCTACTCAGTCGTAGATAGGGCAATGTTGTAATGGGTCGCAGCCACCGGTGGGGTGGGGTTTGAGAGGCCAGAAGTTATCTAGAATCACCAAACCCTCTTCCCCTCCCTCCGCACCCTCCAGGCTGGCCAAGTTGGGTTTGACCTAATAAATGCTGGCAGGTCCCTCCAGCGAAGGGGGTTGGAGGCCCTTTGCATATATTCGCTCTAGAATTAGCAGTTATCTACTTATCTACGTAGGAGAGGACGGAGCGATCAAGGGAACCATAACTGATTTAATGAGCCACTTGCACTTTCCCTTTACCAGCCCTGCATACACAGACATGCTTGGCTTAATCTTTGAGACAAGCATATGCTACTGGCAGGATCAACTAGGTAGGAGAGTGCGCTCTCACTAGCCAGACCAGGAGAGCCGCTGAGGTTCCGCCAGGAAGCCCAGTGCCTGGCTTGCAGCGCTGCCGCGGTTCCCACAGGCGCGCGGAAGTGGGGGAGGCGAACACCCGGGCCCCATGGCCCGCCCCATCTGAGAGGCGAGGACCGCTGACGGTG